GGGTTCCAGCACCCAGTCCTGAGGTGCAGTTGGGGAAGGCAATCATGAACAGCAGACGACAGCTCAAGGGACATCATTCTGGATGTTCTGCTTCCCACTACCAGTTCGCTGAGCAAACCCCATTGGCTGATTGACCCAGGCCTGCCCAGACACCACCCAGTGATCCATCTAGAGCCATCAAGTGACTGACTTATTTTCTGGCCAATGAGATGAGAGAAGCATTGGGTGGGGCTCTAAAGGAGTCTTTGAAAGGTACCACATTGGCTTTGCCTTGGACCTCGTTCATCATTCTCCTGTCTGGTACGGTTGACCTTTTTGCTATTTATGAAGAGGCATCAAAATGAGAGCACGCTTTCACACTAAAGATGATGGAGGGGATAAGGAGGGAGCCAGAGCTTTCACAACAGCCCTGGGTTGCACAGGGGGGAACTTCTTACTCTACGAACACCCTGCTTCCTGCCGCCTTGGATGTTAGGGTGTTGTTGATTAGGTTTCGGTTAAGCCGAGTACAGATGGAAAAGCTCGTTTTCCTCTGATTGCCCTGTCTGCATGGAGATGGGGCCCCGGAGCGTAAGACCACTGTGAATTTAGGCAGCCCTGGAAATCAAGCTGAGTGTGGAGGTGTCATTTCACCAACACCCCGGGATGGGGTACATGTGCTCCCTGATGCACCTGAGTATCTGCATCTGCATTCCTTAGTGCCTGCATTCTCTCCAGTTTTAGCAGTTTCCTGGCCATGTCTGAGTTATTCCTCAAAACTAAGTCCATCCATCCCCTTCCAGAAAACACAGACTGCCCTTTCACAGCTTGGGAGGGATTTGACCCTTTCCCTCTCTGTCCCACAACCCCCTGGGTCATGTTGAGTATGACATGAGTCAATTACAGATGAACTGTTCCCATTGTACCTGGCCCTTCCTTGACTGCCAAGGTGACATTGGACCCTAGTGCTGATTGGTCATTTCCATCGTTCAGTGAACCATCCTCCACCTGCTCAATCATTCAGTCTATGATTTACTGAGCCCTGATCCCAACACTGCTCTGCTCTGCCTAGCTAGCTGTTGTAGGGTCTAGAATCTCTGTGGTTAGGGAATCCCTGGGACAGTCCTCAGAAGGGACAAACTCACAGATCAGTATGATCCCCCCACAAGTCAGGCTCCCGATGGCTCACAGAGCAGGGAGGGATGCAAGCCTGGCGTCCAGCAAACCAAGTAGATACTCTGGCAGGCAGGAAAGGATAGAGGGGGTACAGGGCTCTCAACTCAGTTCCTCAAGCAAAAAGTATCATGGTGGGTGTGTTGAGGGGGATATAACGCAGACCCCGATATTGTCTAGACTCTGGGACTTGGAGGAGACTGTGCGGGTGCTCCGCAGTAGTGGGGGGTCAGGGAGGAAGCCAGACAAGGCCAGCTCTAGGAGTTCAACATGGAGCAGATGCCTCTGAAGTACCTGCTCATCTTCTCCTTCCTCTGGCCCAAGAAATCTTTCTTTGGGTGCCTTTTCTTTCTTGCTTGCTCCCATTCTCTTCCTAAGAATTGTTCACCTGAGCAAGTACCTGAGCTGGCATTGACAGGCACCCCGAGGGGTCCGAACAACCCTTTTAACATTGAGTGCCAGCCTTTAGGGGTCTTCCTATCCCAACCCTCATCTTTCCAGAGTTTTTTTGTTGATGCTTGGAGCTTACTCCTGGCTCTGTGCTCAGGGATTATTCCTAGTGATACCCTGCTCAGGGTTATATGTAGTGCCAGGGATTGAACCTGGATCAGCCATATGCAAGACAAGCTCCCTGCCCCCTGTACTATCTCTGTGACCTCTCTGGCATTTAAAAAAAAAACTCAGGCCCCAAGCACCAAGGACTTTTCTGGTGTCTATTCTTCTTGCCCTCAAGACTCCATGGAGGGAGAGACTGAATGACCAAGGCATGGTTGGGGCATCTGGTGTGTTGCAGGCCTTGCATGGAGGTGCCGTGCAAGTACTTCACACAGTAACTGATCTCACAACTCTACTCAGTAGAAATCATCATCATCCCCTTCAAGAGGAAAAAATGTACCAAAACTGACAGAAGAAACAGAAAACAGGAGTGCTTCGAACCTCCTGAAGAACTTGGGTATGCAACCAGACCCCTTCTCCCCCAGAAAAATCCCAGGCCCAGATGATTATCTGCTCTACCTAACATTGAAGAAAAAGAAACAAACTTCATTGCAGAAACTTTGCGAAGAACAGAGAGGGACTTCTTTCCAAGTCATATTAGGAGGCCTGCATAATATTGATCTCTCAACTTCATTAGATCATAATAGGCTGCGCCAGGCCAGGGACAGAGCACTTGCCGTGTGTGTGTGTGTGTGTGTGTGTGTGTGTGTGTGTGTGAGAGAGAGAGAGAGAGAGATAGAGAGAGAGAGAGAGAGAGAGAGAGAGAGAGAGAGAGAGAGAGAGAGAGAGAGAGACCCTGGCCGAACAAAGATAAGATAAAACAGGAGGAGCTGAGATAAGATAATAGAGATAAGATGAGATAAAAATGGAGGTTAGGCCAATCTCAGATTGTTGCCGTATAGCCCTGGGCATGATGCCTTAGAGTTGCATGCTCAGTGTATGGTCCTGATTTGTTGTGGTCAAGCCAGGGCTTGGGTTGTGATTTGTCTCTTATCTCACCAGACTGAGTCTAGAACAGTATCCCCTGGACAAAGAAAGAGATGGGAAAGGAACTGGGAACCATCCTGAGCTGCCACTGCCCACTCTGGGCCTCTTCCACATACTCCTCCACACATCCAGGCTTCAAGGCTGGTAGATTCCAGCTACAATAGCTGGCGCTCGGAGTCTCTGCCAGATGGAGCAAGGGCAAGGCTGGCCAGGTTGAGGTGAAATCCCCTGCTTCCCCAAGGCTCATGACTGAGGGAGCCCCAGCAGCGAAACTCTTGGCCTTGGAATGGCTCCTTTGCCCCACTTCCCCTTGGCCTGGGGTCCCCAGCTCACCCGCAGGCCGGAGTCTATGCCAAGACAACTCTACCTCTCACTTCAGACTTGTTTTTTCCTCGACTGAAATCACCCTGTATACATTGTTCTGTGACTTGCTTTTTTTTCACGTCACAATCCCACGAGCTATTTATAGCTCCTCTACCTCCCCCAAGGATTTTGAGGCAGTTTACCAGAGCTGTCGAAGGCGGGGTGCCGAGCAGCTGAGGGTGCGTGCCCCCCGCCCCTTCTTGTGAGTGTCGCTGACCTGGATTGCTGTTCTGTGCTGCCTCTTGCTCTCGGCTGACCTCGGGTCTGGCTGGAAGCTTTCCCAGTGCCAGTTTGTTCATCTGTGAAATGGGGTTGGCCTCCGGATCCGTGAGAGAAGGTAAAATGGATGTTCCAGCCTCTCAACTTCCCCGACCTGCCTGGGGCATTGAGTACAGGATGTCAATCCTCTGGAGCCTGGATGTAGGCCAGACAGCCCATGGAAGGTGGACCCAAGCCTCGAGTAGCCCGTTCTGCTCCCCAAACAGAAAACTGAAGACGAGGCAGCAGCAGTATTGAAGCATACATGGAGCCCAGCCTACCCCGCTCCCATGCCCCCTCTCGGACCAGAGGGGGTGTCCTGAGGGACAAGCTGGGCCAACTTCCCCCATTCAGGGCTCAGACTGAGAATAAGTGGCTCATGGTAAGTACCTGGTGATGTTTGGAGTCCTTCACTTTGACCTGGAACCTTCTTTTCCCTATTTGGAATGTGGGGAAACTGAGGTCAGGGACACTGGACATCATTGGGCTCTAGACATCATTGGGCCCAGCCCCCTCCTTCGGCCTGAAAAGACAGACTCTGGGGAGGAGGGGCAGAGAGAGAAGGCCATCCCGTGGGGGCACCCCTGTTCTAGACCAGTAAGCCTGGGACGTTGAGGCCAGAGCAGGCTGGCAGCGGCTCACACTTAGCCTAAGGAGTGGGAACCGCATCTGTGCACCAAGGACCAGCAAGGGGTGGAGCATCGTGAGAGCTGTCCTCTAGCCTCCTCCTACCATGCACCCCTCCCGCACACTCCAGTGGCCCTTCCCTAAGGGGCCTCTTACCCTGCTCCAGGACCACACCGACACCCGGCACGGAGGGCTCCTGAGCTGACTGTGATAATGACTCTGACTCCCCCTAACCAGAGGTCCCCACCCCCAGGAGAAAGGTCTAACTCATCTCTGTACCTACCCCAGCCCCCTAAGAATCCTCCTGCTCAGTTTTATTTGATTCTCGTTTTGGTTTCTGGGCCACACCTGATTGTGCTCAGGGCTGACTCCTGGCTCTGTGCTCAGGGATTGCTCCTGGTGGTGCTCGGGAAACCATATGGGGGTGCTGGGAATTGAACCCATGCCACCATGTGCACTACCCACGGGACCATCCCTCCAGCTCCCCTCCACCCCATCTCTGTTTAATGGTAACTTTGACCTCCTTCCCTCCTCTCAACCTCCCCACCCCTTCCCCACCTCCCAAGCCTCCCTCCCTCCCAGGCTAGTGCTCCCCCTCATCCAGGGCAGTCATGCCTCTTTGCCTTCCTGCCACACAGCCCCGAGGGGTCATCCCCCCGCCTGGCCTCTGTAACCAGGAGTACCAAGCTGCCAGCAAAGGGACAGGAGCCACTGGCCTGGAGCAGGAGACCGAGTCGTGTCAGTGTCCGTGGACCCACCAGGGTGCTCTCAGGGGCCAGCCCAGCCTGCATCTTTGAAGCACCCAAGACCGTGGCACCTGCTTCTGCTCACTGACAGCCGTCTGGGTCCCCGCTCTCTTCCCGAGGTGGGGGCAGGGCCGGGGAGACTCCCCGTTTGTCAGTTGGGGAGAGCTGTGTTTCCATGGCTACGAGCCATGGGAGCTGCCGGGAGATGGGGCCATGGTGTACACAGACACAGATCCGCGCGGTCCTGCAAGAAAAATAGCACCAGATTTGCTGAGTCATTGGCCCCACATATTTATAGTCTCTGGCAAAGGCAGACCTGCCCATCAGAGGCTAATAATACTGCAGCGGCGTGTTAATTGCACCCGCTGTCTTCAAGCATTCATTCAGACACCAGAGCTGCTCCTTGAATAGAGAGTGGGGCCCTCTGAACGCATTTGCTGCCGGTGAGGAGTGTGCCGAGGAGTGAGGGTGCGTGTGGGAGCACGGTGCAGGGGGGCCCTGCCAGCTCTAGAGGCTGACGGTCCCAGTGTCACCCAGACCAGGCTGAGCCCCGCCCCCTGCAAGGTCAGCCACCTGGGGCCATCTCAGACTCACCCCCCCCAGCAGAGGTGGACAGAGGAGGTCAGAGGTGGGTGTTCCCCAGGGATGGGATGGGGGAGCAGGGTGCTGGGGGCCTGATACTTTCGGGTCATAGCTGTGGGGGGAGTGGCCGTGGTCTGCAGCTCTGGGCTCTTGGGCAGTGAGATAAAAGGGAGAGAGAGACCCTTCTCTGTCTTCCGGGAAATGTCCCCCTGTAGATCCCACGACACAACTGGGATGGTCACTGGGCCCCAGCATGGCAGCCAGGCACCATCCTGGACTGGCCTGGCCCACACTGCTGTCAGGAGGAGTGTCTTTAGCTCTGGGCCCCGGAACCAGGAGTGCTGGCTGGTGGGGAAGCAGGAACACTAAGCCCTGGCCTCTGAGCACTCCCCAAGGCCAGATAGCCACCACCAGCACTGCTCCGCCACAGCCGTCCCGTACTTCCTTTCCCTGGCCCCTGACAGTGGCACACGGGCAGAAGAGTGGTGAGACACGGAGCACCCACGCTCTTGCTCGGGGGTTGGTTCTTATTTCTGCTTTTACGTGCAGGGCTCTCACCGTTTGGAATGCATTTGTCCGGGCTCCACCCAGTCCTACTCGGGAAGCTGCAAAGAGCCTAGATGGAACCCTGGTCTCCCCAGGCAGGTGCTCCCACCCTTTGAGGTGTCTCCTTGAGGCTCTGTGTTTTCTGAGCTGCCAGTCAAGCACTTCTCTACCTCAGGCTCGGACCTTGCTCCTCCTCTCAGCAATTGCCCAACATTCCTTCCCCACCCGTTTCCGCCTCTCCCCCCCACACACTCTGAACACGCAGGGCCTGAGAGAGACCACCCAAGGCCCCCCCACCCCTCTGTCCTGTCTGAAGCCAGGAGGCTGCGGGGTGCTGATTCTGGCCCCCATTGGTTTCAGCAGGGACACACACACACACTCCCACTTCTGCTCTCTATAAAGTGGGCATAAGGGGTCAGAAGCCACACACTGTCTCCATGGGGTACTGGTGTTGACGGAGGCCAGCAGAGCCGGGGTGCAGGGAGGAGCAGGACCTAGGTTGTCTGGTGTTGGGTCTCATTTCTCACTCCAAGCCCCAAAGAGCACCTCATTCTTTAGAGTTTCCCAGCTCCCCTCAAGGGGAGCAGCGCAAAGTGGGGGAGAGGGGGCCAGAGTTCTCAGTTCTCTTGGAGGAAGGTTTGCTCAAGAGTTCTTATGAATAGTAAATCAAACAGTGGCAGCTATTCTGGGTAGGAAAGAGCCCTCTCCACCCAGTTCCTGCTGTCCTCTCTCTAGGGAAGTCCACCTGGTGGGGCGGGAGCCGTGTGCTTTAGGGTGCAGCTTCCTCTATGAACAGTCACAGCTTCCAAGTGCCCTGATGGACGCCCATGCTGCCCCCTCTCCACCCCCAGAAGTGTGTGGGGGGAGAAAGATTTCAGGCACCTTCCATGACAGTTCCATGGAGCTTGGTCTATGCTCTCAGGAGGGTGGGAAAACTCTAAATGTGCCCCAGTGGCAGAAAATTGCCAACCCTGGAACTGGCCCTTCCCCCTGCCCTGACAAGACCCCGAGTTGCTGCCCACAAATGATTTCTCCGGCTCCTGAACGGCCATGATCCCAGAGGCACACAAACCAATCTCAGGACCCAGGAGCTTTTGGCAGTAATCCCTTTAGGCTTATTACTAAAATATCAGAAATCCAAAATTGCATGGCCACTAGTGCGGCCACACGATATCATATGCTCTTCATTGTCAGCAATGTCAAAAACAAACTGTCAAACTGTCCTCTCGTTGTTCATCGATTTGCTTGAGCGGGCCCAGTAACGTCTCCACTGTGAAACTTCTTGTTACTGTGTTTGGCATACTGAGTACTCTCGGTAGCTTGCCAGGCTCTCTGAGAGGGGTGGAGGAATCAAACCTGGCTCGGCCAGGCTGGCTGCTCGCAAGGCAAATGCCCTACCACTATGCTATCACTCCAGCCCACAATTATCTAATGATGTCTTTTTGGCAGGTCTGATTGTTGGGAGGGGTGGGGAATTTCAAATAATAATGGTGGGTCTTCTGTCAAAAAATGGAATGTAATCAAAGTAGAGAGAGAGAGTAAAGTGGAAATCGTCTGTCACACAGGCAGGGGGAGGGGTGGGATGGGGGTATACTGGGGTTCTTGGTGGTGGAAAATGTACACTGGTGAAGGGATGGGTGTTTGATCATTGTATTACTGAGACTTAAACCTGAAAGCTTTGTAACTGTTCTCATAGTGATTCAATAAAAATAAATAAATAAATAAATAAATAAAAACAGAAGATCACCAACCCATTCTCTCCTAGGTGGCTTGGGACAAATTATAAATGGATCAGCTCTGTCCTGTCTGCAATGGGTATAAAAACGTCATAGGCCATATGTGGTTGGTTGGATTTGAGTTAATATTGCTTTGTTGGGCGGGGGGGGTGACACCCAGCCCTGCTCAGGACTTACTCTTGGCTCAGGGGTCAACTCCTGGCAGGGGTTGGATCCAGATGTGGTGCCAGGATCAAATCTGGGTTTGTCTCATGCAAGGCAAACACTATCCTTCAACTCTCTCTCTCTCTGGCCTCTAACGCTGTAATATCGTTATTATTCATACAAAGTCAAGGTGCATACCAGGCTTAGGGCTGTGCAAGGCACAATTGACTGGACTCAGTGGAAATTTTTGTTAAATAAATCAGAAGTGGATGCAGGGCAGAGCCCAAGAACAAAGACTGCAGACAACCCTGTCTTGGTCACTGAAATAGTCACTGAACACTGACAGTGTCTGTCTACCCCAGCCCAGGCCGGATGAGGCTTGGGCAGCTGGATATCTTGCTGGTCTCTGCACTGTTAGCCACCAAAGGGAGGATGGTCCACGCAGTGAGAGCCCGACCCCGCCCGCTCTGATCGTCCCTCCTTACCTGGGATGTTATGGTCATTGATAACACAACAGGCAACTTTAGCTAACACAAAGGTGTGAGACCACATGTCAGGCTCTGTGCCGAGTACTTGACCACCAGTAGGTTATTCCGCCTCCTTCTTCCCACGGCTCTGTGCTGAGCTTCGGGATGAAGATTGGAGGCAGATAGAGGTTGGGGTAACATGCCCACAGTCACACAGGGATAGATGGAGGAGACCTTGGAACCCAAAGCTGCCTGACACCACAGCCAGGCCCTGTGCCCTCTGGGTCATGTCTCTTGACTCTCATCGAAGTCTTGTCCAGGAAGACATAAATAGGGATTCTGGGGGCCAATCTGGTCCCCACCCCACTTCAGCCTTTTTAGCAGCCCCGTAGCCCTCTTGGTCCAAGAACTGAGGATTTGAGCAGGAGGTCTGAGGACCGTGGGAGCTAGGGAATGACAAATAGGCCTCTTGAGAATGGGGTGAAAGACCCTGGAGGAGCCCCACGCAGGACTGTTGCCAAGTTCCAGGTTTGATGCCAGGGCCCGGGACGCACAGGAAGCCTTGCGGTGAGGGGATGCAGCTTTCAGATTCCTACCTCTCCCTCCCTCACCCTCCCCATCGTCTGGTCCCTCAGAGCCCACTTGGCTGTGTCTCTTTCCTGTGTCTCCAAAGGCAGTGGCCCTGGGGGAGGGCTGTCCCCTGGGGCCGTGATGCTGTGGAAAGTGGCCATTTATGAGGAGGAGACAAGGCCAGCTGCATTCTAAAGAGGCTCCAGGGAGCTGCAGTGCCTCGAGGCCAGGGACAGGGCATCTCTGCAGTTCCCACAGTTGGCGCCTAGGCAGTGGCCCTGTGGTGAGGGGGGGGATCTCTGGTGGGAGGGATTTCAAGCAGCTTCTGTTCATGAATGTGGTCGCCGGAGCATGGCTATGGGTGTATTCCATCTGGGTGGGGACAGACCCTGGGCTGGGGAACAGGACCTAGGCTGGACTCCTGACTCCCAGAGCTGCTAGAGGTGCCCACGGAAACAACCTTCTACAGTAAGAGGATAAGTGTCATGAGCACAGACTCCAGGGCACCTGGGGAAGCCTCCTATGGCAGCCTGCAGGCTCAGGAAGCAGGGCTGAGTCTGGCCTGGGAAGGAGGTGGCAAGGGGTTCTGGGCAGGGCAGCGGCATCTCAGGTCAGCCTCAGAGCTGGGGGACCTGGGACTCAGAGCCAGTCAGCTAACTCTTGGACAAAGCATCTCCCATGTCACAGATCAGAGACACAATAGAGTTAGATACTTCCACATTGGAAAATCAGTCCATGCCACTCATTGTATCAATTACTAGAAAGCGAATGCTTCACAGACATCAAAACACATTAAATGCAACTGAACACCCATGTTCATGAAAATACCTAATAAAAATTTTCAAAAGAGCACTTGCCTGACACAATAAAAAATGCATCTGCAACCGACATCATTATTCTGAGTAATCACACACCAGCAAGAGGTCTTCTATGAAGTCAAAGAAAGACAAACTTACCAGCTATTGCCACCACCAGCTTACATTGTTCTGGAAGTCATGGCCAACACAATCATACATTTAAAGAATGAATAAGGGAGTCAGAGCAATAGTACAGCGGGTAGGAAATTTGCCTTGCATGCTGTTAACCCGGGTTTGATCCCCGGCATCCCATATGGTCTCCTGAGCACCACCAGGAGTAATTCCTGAGTACAAAGCCAGGAGTAACCCTGAGCATCACTGGGTGTGGCCTAAAAAGCCAAATCAATAAATAAATAAAAAGAAGTGTAACATTTGGGGAGAAGGAGAAATTGCCGTCGTTGTTTGCTCACGATCTGATTGCTTATTACAGAAACTCCTGGGAATCAACTGGGAACACAAGAATTCAGGAAGAGCAATGGCCAGTTGAGTCACCACAGGAGCACACAGTCCTGAGAACGAAGGGAAAGGAACATCAGCAAGGTGGGTTCTTTATGTTCGCTTTTGTTCAGGGGCCACCCCAGCAGTGCTCAGGGCTTACTTCTGGCTCTGGACTCAGGGATCACTTCCGTTTTTGTTTTGCTTTTTGGGTCAACCCAGCAATACACAGGGGTTACTCCTGGCTCTGTACTCAGGAATCACCCCTGGCGGTGCTCAGGGGACCCTTTGGGATGCTGGGAATTGAACCCGGGTCGGCTACGTGCAAGGCAAATGCCCTACCCACTGTGCTATTGCTCCAGTCCACCGGGGATCATTTCTATGGGGCTCGAAGGACCCTCTGGGGTGTGAGGGATCAAACATGCATTGGCAGCCGTGCATGAGGCAAACGCCCAACCTGCTATACCTGGCTGCCCAGGCCCTGCAAGGTGGGTGCATCAGTAACTCACCACCCCACAGCAAGGTAGTAAGGAAGTGGCCCAAGGACACCCAAGCTCAAGAACAAGCTCTGAGCATCAGTGGTCTGGAGGGGCCATGAGAGAAGAGGGGGTCCAGGGTGAGTATGTCTTTGAAGCCTCCTCCAGAGCTGTATGCAGTGGGGCTTGGGTGGGGAGCCTTTGGGCCAGTCCCCAACAGCCCTGGCAGCTCAGGACAACAGACAATTCCCAGAGGTTCCCAGAATCTCGGGCTCTGCTGGACAGGACCCAGACTCACCTCCTGGGTGCTGGGTGTGGGGGACAGAATGGAAGACCCTGATGGAATATTCCCCCACTCTCAGATACGCTTTCCCAGTGAGCAAGATTTCAACTAAGCTTTCCTGACCATTTGATGGGTTGATTACAAATGGTCCCTCGCAGGGCCAGAGCGATAGTACAGCGGGTAGGGCATTTGTCCTGCACGCCGCTGACCCAGACTCAATCCCCAGCATCCATAATGGTCCCCTGAGCACTGCCAGGTGGAATTTCTGGGTGCAAGGCCAGGTATGACCCAAAAAGACAAAAACAAACAAAAAACCAAATGGCCCCTTGGGATTTATTATAGCAGATTTTACAAGAGAATCTATCCTTGCAAAGATGCACCCTCAGTCAACCTCCCAGTCAACCTCCAATGCCACCAACTCATTCCCCAGGCTCTGGAAACTGGACCCTGTCTTGTTTAGGGTGACATGATTTCCTGGAGGGACGCAGCTGGGCTGCAGGGTAGGGGCCTGGTCATGTGTTCCAGGGCCCATCCTCCAAAGGGAAATCTTAGGAATCTCCCTACTTCTGTGGGCGCATGTGGCAGTCCTGCAGGGATGACCCCTGGCAAACACTGGCTTTCCTCTGGGTTTTCCATGACTCACCCTCAGAGGTAAAGGTGTGCGGGCACAGCCACATTTCAGAGCAGTAAGCTTGCTGCCCTGGCCCCCCTCACTGTTTTCCCCACTCAGGGCCTCCATCAGCATGATAAAGAATCATGACCCCCTCTCAGCACTGCACCAGCTGGCCCTGCCAGGGACATGCAGTCCCCTCTGAGGTGACACTGCCTTGTACAGGGAGTCTCGGTGCAAGGGAGTGGGGCTGTTGGTGCCATTGCAATGTCTCAGCACTGGGATGGTACACTTTTGGGTCTCATGATTCCGTGCTCAGATGGCGGCCAATGTGGCACTTCCAATCTCTCTGGATCAGAGCAGGTTTCCCGGAGGGACGCAACTGAGCTGCAAGGTAGAATAGGACAGATCAGCTCGGGCCACAGGATATTCTTTCCTTGCTGCAAAGTGTACCAGCACAGAAGCCCAGACACATTTCATGCCGGCTCAGCCCTGACTCTCATGGGTTGGCTCCTGGCTGCTCCTTAGAAAGCCAAGCCCTGCACAGCAAGCCCCATTTCCTACCAGGACGGAGCCCCTTCTTGCAAATGGGGCCCTGTTGCTCTAATTTCCACCTATCTCTGTGTTTCTGCCTAGGTGCCTAGCATTACCCCCAGAAATGCCTCCTCTCTTTGTTTTGTGTTTATTTATTTGTTTGGCCATACCCACTGGTGCTTAGGGCCTACTCCTGGCTCTGTGCTCAGGGATCACTCCCGGTAAGTCTTGGGAGACCACATGGGATGCCAGGGGTTGGATCTGGGTTGGCCATGGCAAAGCAAGAGCCCTACCCATGACACAGTCACTTAGGCCCCGAATGCTTCCTGTCTTGAGATCAAACTTGAGATCAAAAATACCCATCGGGTCTCCTTGTGAGCGTCCTCACTCAACACCCCCATACCACAAGGCAGGAACTTTTCAGGGCATTCGGGGGAGTGGGACTTGGACCTCTGGAAAGGGAAGTAGGTTTGTTCCTCCTACTCCTACCCCTCATCCTTTTTCCATGAGCTCATTGATTTTCTAAGGCCCCCCATTCCCCATGATTAGAGTCTGGCAGAAGAGTGGGGGAAGAGTGAAATTCACCAAGTTTCCCTGGATCCCAGGTCTTGTCACCGTGGCAACCACGTGAGGTCACCAGTGTCCTTAAACTGGGAGGAGAGATGTCTCTTTGCCCTTGGATTCTGTGGCTTCTCTGGAAGTACCTGGGTGAAGGGTGGTAGGAGGGGCGAGACCAAGGCCCCCTCCCTGCTTCCCCCCAAACAACCCTGAGGATGGATGAACTCCTTGACGCCCAGGATACTCACTGCCCCAACACAAGCCTGACTTCCCTAAACTTCACCAGCATCCTTGTCCAAGAGAGCACTTCTGTGTTTTGGTGTGCAGGGAAAGACTGGCGCTGAGTTCTGGACCCCTGCTGCAGATTCCTCTCCCCATTAAGCAAAGGTTAGAACAGGGATGCTGAGATGGGGAGCCGGTGGGGAGACCAAGAGGCATCCTCCATGCTATAGGCCAAATTGTGGTTCTCTACTGGCACTCCAGAGGCCCGGCTTGCTCTCAACTTGCTGCTCCCCTTTGAGGACATCCGTGGAGCCCCCTAACTCAGAGCTCACACACTCCTCCTCTGTCCTGAAGGCAGCTCAGGGCTGGCCCCTCCACTCCCCAGGGTCCAGAAAGGCCTCTCTGCGTCACCCCTAGAGTCCATTCCTTCTGCCCCTACAACTTTGTAACTGTATCGCAAGGTGACTCAATAAAAGCAAAACAACAACAAAAAAAAAAGAATCATAAAAAATAATAAACCTCATGAGTGAAAATGAAAGAATTACCTGGTTTGTGCTGAGTGAGTTTTTAAGAAAATAATAAATAAAATACCACTAAACACACAAACGAGAACATAAAAAAAATCATAAAAAAATCAAAACTCATGAGTGAAAGTGAAAAAATTACCTGGTTTGTGCTGAGCAGGTTTTTAAAAAATAAATAAAGTACTAGTAAACACACAAATGGAAACATTAAAATTAAAAAAAAAAAGAAGAAGAAGAACCCATGAGCATTACTCATGCCATCTGCATAGCACACTGCCACACCCCCCCAAGGTCAGCCTCAGGGACCATGCTAGGACCCCCTCATCCCTCGGGAGGCCCCACTTCCCTCATCACAGTTCTTCGCCTCTACCTCCCTCACTGTTCTCATGGCCTGTCTTAGCATCACCATCAACCATCAGCACCATCACCTCCATCCTCACTCCTGACATTGAGGGCACCATTACCAGAGGGGTTACCTGTCACTTCCATCCTCCTCCCAAGGGACCACTCTTCCCTTGGTCCCTACCACTGCCTCCTCCTCAGCATCCCTGTTAACTGAGGGAAACTGTATCCCCACCCCTTCATAAAACCAACTGATTGACTTACCCTTCACTCAACTCCTTCAATGGAGTCCTCAAGATCAGACACAGGAAAAGGACAGCTGGATCATGTGGCCCCAGACACACACACACACACACACGGGATCCTTTCTTCCTTGGGGAAATCTCTCAACTACCTGCCACCAGAATGACCACAGGGATACTTTCTTTACTGTCTCAAGGCATAGCTGAGACACAGCTAGGACTAGGACACCTGTATTAAAGGGGATAGTAAAGGTAAAGGTAAAGGCCCTCCCGTTGATCGTCGATTTGCTCGAGCGGGCCCAGTAACGTCTCCATTGGAGACTTTGTTGTTACTGTGTCTGGCATATCGAATACTCTCGGTAGCTTGCCGGGCTCTCCGATAGCTTGCCGGGCTCTCCAGCCCAGCGGGTAGGGCGTTCGCCTTACAAGCGGCCGACATGGCCGACCCGAGTTCGATTCCTCTGCCCCTCTCGGAGAGCCCGGCAAGCTACCGAGAGTATTCGATATGCCAGACACAGTAACAACAAAGTCTCCAATGGAGACGTTACTGGGCCCGCTCGAGCAAAGGGGATAGTAATACAAAATAATCTGCAAGGGGGGCAATCAGGAGCAGAAACATTGGTTCCAAATTCCTGAGCAGCGGTGACTTAGCAGTACAATAAAGTAAAGGCCTTTGGGGAGTGCTTTCTCAGAAGTACATTTTTAAGAATCTATCTTGAGGAAACAATTAGATGAACGTGCAGAGAAGGTATGTGGGTGTTTTAATAGCAAAACTTGGAAGTAGCCTAAATGCATAACAAAAGAGATGATTAAAAAGAAAAAAACATATGGACTAATACACAGCCTGGAACAGAAAGTAGAGACATCTATTGACATAAAAAATAAGGCGATTTATGTTGTTAATGAACAAAAGCAGGCTTCATTTCAGCATTTGTAGAACAATCTCCTATTTCCAAGAATATAAATGTGTTCATGAAACAAGGTGAAAATATTTTATCTTAACAGATGGCACCAAAATTTTTCTTAGACAGAAAACTGTCTTTGTTTGGAGAAATGGGGGAAAAAAAAGCTTCCATCAACTGTTTAGTGGGATGATGGTGGCAAGTTGCGTGACATGAGACAAGGAGAGGAATTCATTTTGCTCCTGAGGAAGAAGACAGAGACAAAGAACCATGGCACAAGGAAAGAAGAGAGAGAAAAGGAGTCGTTTATGAAGACAGAGTGATAGCACGGCAGGCAGGGCATTTGCACAAAGCCCACCTAAGTCCGACCCACAGCATCCCATATGGTCCCCCGAGCACTGCCAGGAGTAATTCCTGAACACAGAGCCAGGAGTATCTTCTGAGCTACTGCTGGGTATGGCCAAAAAAAAAATCTAAAAAGTAAAAACAAGGAGTCATTATTCTTGGGGAAGGAGGAAGGTCAAGGTGTGGGAATGGCGGGAAAAGTCCGGCTTAGAGGGTCTTTCCTTGAGAAGGTCTCACTTGACTGCAGTTGGGGCGGTTCCTCCTTCCCCACACCAGATTCTCTGCTTCCCCTGCCAACTGCTCGTGCTTCTGCATGAGTGAGTTTCCATTCATTCAGAACAGAAGCGGAACGGGGACCTTGTGTCAGGTTGGATCTGCCCCTACGGGTGGGGTAAATAAATGCTGAAGGGTGTGTTTGTTCGGTTTCACTCATGTGTGTAATCTGACTCTAAGGCAAGGATTAAAGAGGGGAAAGCAAGTTTCAGAGCCCACACACGGGGAATGCTCCCCAGAGTGAGATGGAATCGCATCTTCTGGGTGAGAGCAAGGTCCCTGCTCTCCTGCCATAGACCCTCAGCCCCTCTCCTATACTTTATGGTGCTCTCTTGACAGCCCCCTCCTACAAACTTCTATCCAGAAGTCTCAGCACCCCTGAGGCAGAGACCAGGAGGGTAACATCCTGGAGAGATGGGTAACTGTCACTCCGTTTCCTGGGCTGAGACTCACCTGGCCAGTTGGACCTCTGCTTACAGGCCCCACCTCTCCCTGGGTGAGCTGACAGTGGGAACAGTGCCCCCTTCTCAGGGAATGTCCTGCACTCACAGGACTTCTGCCATGAGCCTTCACAAGACAGTATCTTCAACAACATTGCAGCCATTCTAACTATTGGGCATAAGAACCCCACTCCCTACAGTTGAGTGGGTCCCAGATCTGGTGCTCCACTACCTCTCATGTCATCATCACCATCATACTCCATAATCTCAAGCCTGCTTGCCTGCCTTCCCTCCATCCCTTCCTCCCTCCATCCCTCTCTCTCTCCTTCCCTCCCTCCCATCTTCCTTCCTTCCTTCCTTCCTTCCTTTCTTCCTTCCTTTCCTTTTTCTTTCTTTCTTTTTTCCTTCCTTCCTTCCTTCCTTCCTCTCTCTCTTTCTTCTTTCTTTCTTTCTTTCTTCTTTCTCTTTTTTCTTTTTCTGTAATTTATTTTTTTATTTATTGATGTTTGGATCACACCCGACAGTACTCAGGGCTTACTCTGGGCTGTGTTTAGGAATCACTCCTGGCAAGGATCACAGGACCTTATGTGGTGCCGGGATAGAACCCACGTCTGCCACATGCAAGGCAAGTGCCCTAACTGCCACACTATTTTTCTGACCACTTTCTTTCTTCCCTCCCCCTCTCCCTCCCTTCCTTCCTTCTCTTTCTCCCTCTTTCCCTCCCTCTCTCCTTTCTTCCTTCCTTCCCTCCTTTTTTCCTTCCTTCCTTCCCTCCCTCCTTCCCTCCCTCCTTCCTTCCTTCCTTCCTTCCTTCCTTTCTTCCTTCCTTTCCTCTCTCTCTCTATTTCTTCTCTCTTTCTTCTTGCCACATCTGACAGTGCTCAGGGGTTACTCGGCACTCAGGAATCACTCCTGGCGGGACTCAGGGGGCCCTGTGGGTTGCAGGGGATAGAGCCTGGATTGACCGCCCAGTACAAGGCAAATGTGGTGCCGGTTGTGCTACCTGGCCTCAAACCTCCTTTCACGCAGGCAGCTCACAACCCTCTGGCTGGGCCTAGAGGCAGGGCTGACTTTCCATGGCCTGAAAGGACACCAAGAGAGAAGACAAAAGTGGGGAGAGGGCTATACCACTCCCATCTCATGACACCTCCCTGACCTGACAACCCCCCCTCAACCCCCCTCCCTACAGCTCATTCGCTTGGTATTCAAGGGGATCCCATAGCTGGGTAATGAATTTGTTTTGTGTTCCATTGGATAACACTGTTAGTTGTGAATTTATAATTTGCAGAGGGAAGGGTTTTTTTTTCCTTCAAGGCGTCAGAGAGGCTGTTGCTTACAAACTTGTAATTTGCCACTGCAAATCCATCTGTAAATGACACAACTGTGAGCCGAAAATCTCCCAGGCACGAGGATGACAGCCTCAGAATTAAATTGTGTGTTTGACGAGAGCCTGCTCTTCTGGCCTGGGCCGGGCCTTTCAGCCCCAGCAGCTCTGCCTGCCTCTGGGCTCGCGCTGTGCCTCCCCTGTCAGCACTCCCTGTGCCCACCCTTGTGCCCAGTGCCCTGTCTGGTCTGTGGGCATCCAGCAGTGGTAGCAAGAGCCCAACCAGGGCATCCCTGGGGTCACTGTAGAAAGGTTCAGCCAGTCTGTGACCCCCGTGGTCTGTTTCTCCTGGTGCTCTAGGCCTCTGTTTCCCCAACTTGGATCAGGACCCCAGGCCCTTTAGAAGGATTTCTCCCAGACGTATCAGTCACCTACCACCAGGATCTGGATTCCAGGCCTTGGGGACTGACCCAAAGCACAAAAGGGCAGCACTGGGTGTGTGCGGTGAGCTGCTGGCCCAGCCCTCACAAGGGGTTGAACATCTTTGCTTCAACTATTTCTAGCACTCCTATTTCCTATCTGTTTGTCTTCCTTCCTTTTGTGCTTCTCTTAGTTATTCCTTTCTGAAAGGTTTCTCTTTGGCTTTGACATCTTTTTCTTTTTAGTTTAGGGTGAAAATGACAATGATACTCCATCCACAGTCAACAGAAGAGTGAACCTGGCAGTTGGTGAAAAGGCAGAGCTGGGGGTAAGTTTGGGGAACCCCCCACCAAGAGTCATTGCATGGGCTGTGGAGCTCACACACTTGTTTGCAGGGGTCACACTCTTCACAGCATTCAGGCACATTTGGGTTGCAATGTCCAAGGGGAATGGCACTTTATTATTGGGGTGCGGGGGATCCCACAGAGCATTCCAATGCAAGCACTCCCATGCTTCTGTCTCCTCCTTCAGATGATAGTCTGAAAAGGCCAGAGATCAAGGGACAAAGAAGAGAGCCTGGCTCCGACTTAGAGGCTTACAGCCCGACAGGGAGTCAGGCTACTGCCAGCCTAGGATAAGAGGGAATCACTGTTTGGATCAAGGAAATCTCTTTGACAGAAGCACCAAAACCAGCCTAAAAGGATTACAGATAAGACCTGTGACTGAAAGCTGTGTGACCTCTTGCAAGGTGCTTGGCCACTCTGAACTTCCCCTGTTGTCAGTTTTGCCAAGCATGTCTTGTGGTTAATCAAGGAGACATCTATTCTAGCAGGAAATGCAGATGTCACATTTTTACAAACAGATACAGGCTATTCTGGGTAGGTTCTGGCAAGGTTTTCCCTTCCCTGGTAATAAAACGATTTTTCTTTCGCTTGGGGTCCACATTCAGTGACTGCCCACATCAGGGGTTGCTTCTGGCTCTGCATTCAGGAATTACCCCTGGAAGTGCTCAGGAGATCATGTGGAATACTGCCGGGGATCAAACCCTGCATGCACGTCAAACACCTTACCTGCTGTACTATTTCTCTGGCCCTGTGTTGGAGCCTGACCAGAGTCACGAGGAAGTTTTGGGAACGTGCTGCCTTGCAAACAAGGCTGTGTCATAGCTGCGAACAGCTAGGAACCCTGAGCGAACTGGGTTGGGGTTAGCATGTCCCAAAGCAGCCGCTTTCTGTTATAGATTAACTGTGCTATGATTGGATGAAAGTTAAACAAATATCTTATTGGGTTATTGTGCAGGCTTGCATAGATTCTGATGTGGGATATATGAGAATTGGGATGGAAAGATTTACAAGGGGGGCTGGAGCGATAGCACAGCAGGTAGGGCGTTTGCCTTGCACGCGGCCAACCCGGGTTCGATTCCCAGCATCCCATATGGTCCCCCAAGTACTGCCAGGAGTAATTCCTGAGTGCAGAGCCAGAAGTAACTCTTGAGTATTACTGGGTGAGACTCAAAAAGAAAAAAAAAGATTTACAAGGTGGTCTGATTTACTTCATCAGGAACTTTGTGCGTTATTAGGCTACAAAGTAATACATACTTTAAGGCGTTTTGATCTCATGTATTTTGATCTTATATACTCTGATGTATGCTGGATGTTTTGATCGTCAACTCAATAAAAAGAGACTGCAAAAGCCAGTCAGCGCTAAATGGCCTGAGTGAGTTAGCTCTAGTCCTCCATTTTCCAATATTTCACACGCCTTGCTTATCTCTGCGCCCACGACCAATCACTCGATCAAGAACTAACAGTCCTAGGATTAAAAATTTGAGTCAGGTGGGGCTGGAGCGATAGCACAGCGGGTAGGGCGTTTGCCTTGCATGCAGCCAACATGACTGACGCAGGTTCGATTCCCAGCACCCCATATGGTCCCCTGAGCACCGCCAGGAGCAATTCCTGAGTGCATGAGCCAGGAGTAACCCCTGAGCATCGCCGGGTGTGACCCAAAAAGCAAAAAAAAAAAATTTGAGTCAGGAGCTCAGGGGTGAGTGGAGTTAACTGGGTAAAGAAGGGGTGAGAGTATCCCCAGTCACAGAGTACAGCATGTATGAAGTGTGAAATGTGGGCAAGGAGTGTGGATTAGTTCTGTGGCCAGAGCACCTGCTTTGCCATCCTGGGTCTACCAGCTTTATCCTGGCACCACTCCTGAGTCTGAATGCTAGCCTAGCAGCACTGCTGTGTGGAATCCCCTGCCCTCCAACAAAGTGTACCATCCCTCTTGGGCATTAAAACCTAAATGCGCTTGGGTCCAGGAAAGAGGGCAACCCCTGTCAAACAAACGTGTGAGCTCCACAGCCAAGAGTGTGTGACTCCAGTCATTGCAACAACAACAAAGGGAAGGGTAACTTAGAACAAAAACTAGGAGAGGACCGTCTGCTCCCCCTTGGCGGCTCAGTGATCACCATCCGCCAAAGGCCATTGGACAGTCAGGTTTGGGCCCACAGTGGCGAGACACGCAGGGCCTCACCGGATGGGGGTGGAGCCAGCCCATGAGACCCCAAGTAGCCGCCCACAAATGGCTTCTCTGGCTCCTGATCAAACTGTTTAATGGCCATGATCCCAGAGACTCAGAAACAATTCTCAAAACCCAGCGGCTTTTGGCAAAAATGCGTCTTGACCCCACAGTAGGTTACTATCGCCGGGCCACCCCAATGGGGAAAGGGTGCTATTCCTCTGCTGCTCCCCTTGGCAACTCAGTGGCCACCATCCTCCAGAGGCCATTGGACAGTCAGGTTTTGGGCCCTCAGTGAGGACACACGTGGGGCCTCATGGGATGGGGGTGGAGCCGGCCCTTTCCTCCCCGTTTCAACGAGACCCCAAGTTGCCACCCACGAACGGCCTCTCTGGCTCCTGATAAATCTGCTAAATGGCCATGATCCCAGAGACTCAGGACCAAATCTCAGAACCCAGCAGGTCCAGAAATCTCTCCAGATTTAATTGTTAAAATTTTGGAATTTCAAAATCACGCGGCTATTACTGCAGCCGCACAACATATGTTGTTCATAACCAGCAATAGAAAACAAATTGTTTACTGTTGTCTTTTTGGCAGATCCGAGTGCTGGGGTAAAATTCCAAATAATAATGGTGGGTCTGGTGTCAAAATATTGAATGTAATCAAAGTAGAGAGAGAGTAATGTGGAAATCATCTGCCGCACAGGTAGGCAGAGGGGGGTGGGATGTGGGGTATACTGGGTTTTTTGGTGATGGAGAATGGGCACTGGTGAAGGTATGGGTGTTTCATTGTATGACCGAGACGTATACCCGAAAGCTTTGTAACTTCTCTCACAGTGATTCAATAAATAAAATTATAAAAAAAATTAAAAAGTAAGGTGGAGTTCATGCCCAATTCAATCAGCCTAATCAGTGGCTGAATAAATAGCACTACTCCTACACAAAAAAAAAAAAATAACCAGGAGGAGAAAGCCAAAGGCCAGCATGACAGAAAGGCAGAGGACAACAGGGAAGCCAGATAAGCCCAGGGCCAGCTGGCCCAGGGAGTCTGGACTGCTGGGGCTACAAGGAAGAGGCAAAAGCAGAAGCAGGATATCAAGCAGAAGGAAGGTTATGTCCAAAAGAAGTCTTGAGGACTGGAGTGATAAAACCATCAGGGAGGGTGTTTGCCTTGCACATGGCAGACCTGGATTCGATTCCCAGCATCCTATATGGTCCCCTGAGCACCGCCAGTAGTAATTCCTGAGTGCAGAGCAGGGAGTAACCCCTGTACATTGCTGATGTGACACCCCTCCTCCCCCCCAAAAAAAGAACAAAAGAAGTCTCGAGATTCTCCCATTGCTGTCATAGGAGCACCATATCAAGGACACATGAGCACAACGTTGGGGCGGATTTCATTGTCTGGTAGAGAAATGAGATGGCTCAGACAAAGAGGGTGTCAGCAGAGGCAGGAGAAACAGGCAGGAGGCAGAAGGCGAGAATAAGCAGCAGAGCCCATGTGGGAGGGTGAAGGAAGAGTCCCAGCGGCTCTGAGTAGTTGAGTCTGGGACTGTGAGCCTCGTTTAGGAAAAGTCCTGAGTTCAGTCCCTATGTACGAAGGATTCATGCATGGGGAACTTGAGCCAGGGGCCTGACAGGTGCTAACTACAATCAGGAGAGGCGGGGGGGTACAACAAGGTGGGGGAAGGGGTCCATGAAGAGCACAAAGGAGGGAGTTTGGAGCACTTGCAGTGATGTCAGCAGGGCAAGCTGAGAGCTAAGGGTGACCACACAGGCAGCAGAGGCCCCGGAAGAGCAGAGACTTTTGGGGGCAAGGCTGGTTAGCGCCAGAGGATTGCCCACCTTGGAGCTCACCAGGAAATTTTAGCACCAGAAGTTTAAGGGACGGGTAGAGGCCCATGGCAGACTGAAAACAGAAGAGGAATGAGAGAGGACTGCAGAAGAGGCAAAAATGGGGCCAATTCTTGAGGTGTTCCTGGATGTGAAAAGAGAGAGGTGAATCCAGACTGGGACTGAGATCTTTAAGATAAAAGAGTGTCCCAAGAAAAGCACCTGCCATTAGAGGTAGGCGGGCAATCAGGGTTTGGGGAGTGGTCGGAGGGAACCTGGTGTCTGATGTTGGGAAATGTACACTGGTGTGAGGATGGGTGTTGGGATACTGTATGACTGATATCTAATCCTCAACAGCTTTGTAAAGGTCTATCTCACAGTGATTCAATTAAAAGTAAAAAAAGAGAAGAAGGAGACGGAGAAGGAGGAGGAGAAGAAGAAGGAGGGAGAAGGGGGAGGAGGAGGAGAAGGGGGAGGAGGAGGAGAGGGGGAGGAGGAGGAGGAGGAGGAGAAGGAGAAGGAGAAGGAGAAGGAGAAGGAGGAGAAGGAGAAGAGGGAGAAGGAGAAGGAGGAGGAGGAGAAGAAGAAGAGAAGAAGAAGAAGAAGAAGAAAGAAGAAGAAGAAGAAGAAGAAGAAGAAGAAGAAGAGAAGAAGAAGAAGAAGGAGGAGGAGGAGGAGGAGGAGGAGGAAGAGGAGGAGGAGGAGGAGGAGGAGGAGGGGGAGGAGGGGGGGAGGAGGAGGAGGAGGAGGGGGAGGAGGGGGAGGAGGGGGGGAGGAGGAGGAGGAGGAGGAGGAGAAGGAGGAGGAGGAGGAGGAGGAGGAGGAGAAGGAGGAGGAGGAGGAGGAGGAAGAGGAGGAGAAGATGAAGAAGAAGAAGAAGAAGAAGAAGAAGAAGAAGAAGAAGAAGAAGAAGAAGGAGGAGGAGGAGGA